GTTTGTCATTGAAAACGTTAACAACCAACAAGCAGGATGATGTCATATAAATATAGAGCACGAGGCAAAACGTCCATGTTCCTTCGATCAACGGCAGTAAATAAATATTGTATTTAATATATTAAATTAAGGACTGTGTTACTGTTGAAGTTATAACATGAACGTAAGTTTTGCCTAGTGGCTATTGCTTTATATATACGACACCAGCTTGTTGATTTGGTTGTCAACGTTTTCAATGACAAATGAATGTTTTGGGAATTTCTAGCAATACATATCATTTATTAGCTACTTAATAATACTGTTATTCTGAGATCTCGCGCGTGTACTTTTACTGTAGGCTGCAATCATTAATTGTCATATACAAAACAGCCTCTAAATTACTAAAACGTCTTTCAAAGTTCCAAAAAGCGAGTAAGTCTAGTAAAGAAATCCATGAAAAATTTCCCACAAATCCACGAGAATTCGTATTCGTATTGTAATAAATACGGATGAACTTTATAATTCCTCTAAATTCTTACATGGCGCCGTTTCATACATGAGTGCAAGTCAAATAACCATATGCAAACATATTATTCAAATAATAAAAAAAATAGCAAAGTTAAATATTGGTTATTGTTCAACTAAATTTAGAATAGAGTCACAGGTACATAGTACGGCAGAATATTGAAAACGAAAAATATAGTACATGTATATACACAAATATAGGCCTGAACTTCAGGTTAGTGTAAACGCGGCCTAAAACAGGCTATTAGGGACCTTAAGCAAACAGGACGGCAACGCGACGACGACGGCTATTCACACAATGATATTCCTCATCTCGTACAAAAGAATTGAATAATTAAAAGCCCCACGGGAGTGGGGTAGCAAATCTTCGAGTTAAGCCCCTCGAGTTAAGCCCTTCGAGTTAAGCCCCGACCACGCCCTTTCGAGTTAAGCCCCGACCACGCCCATGCCACGCCCATGCCACACCCATTTCCGTTGAGGGCTTAACTCGAAGTACATAACTGGAGTTAGCTACTTCGAGTTAAGCCCTCTAAAAAATAGGGGCTTAACTCGAGCAAAGTCAAACATTTTGTTCTTCGAGTTAAGCCCCAACGTTTGAAAGATGTAAACGAGTTACGAGTTAGCTGTTAAAATAAACAATATTCATTATATAATTCATTAATATATAAGTATATAATGTTAACAATTAATCAACATAAATGTTTTATTTGCGCCAGGAGCGATTCGAACGCGTCGTCAACAATTTACATGGTGGGAAATAAATATGTTTCAAACATAACAAGTATTAGAGCTATAGTCATAGAGGATATTACACGGCGGCGCGAAAATATGACTTTTATCGATATCTTCGAGTGGGAGTAAGATATTGTTTTTAACACGGGAAGATAAAAGTCATATCTTCAAGCCACGTGTAATGTTCGATATTTTCACTAGTGAAGATATGGAAAATATTATCACTGTGTGTTTTTTTTAGTATCTCACTATCTACTATATAATAAAGATCAATATATTTACATAGATAAAGTAAAAGCTCTTAATTTAATTAAACAATAATATGTACATTTATTATATGACAATGACGTGTTTTACCAAATACGGTCATGAGAGCACGAAAATCTGAGAAGGGATTACATCGTAAAAAGCCCTCGTCTTAGTCGTCTAAACAGATTTTCCTTGTTTCGGTTAAGGTTTGAACGAAGCAAAAATCCGAATAGGTCAAATGCAAGAACGATGGCGTCAGTGTCAAGTTGTTCCTAATTTGGTATGCAACTTCAGAACCTGCTTCTGTGCTTCAGGATGTTTGTTTTTATTGCATCTGAAAATCTGAAATTATTTGCCGTAAATGCAAGCAAATCCTTCAAAAAAGACAAGGAAAAATATATTTTGAGAGTTGTCATATAATAGAAATCCTATTGCCGAGCATTTTACTCGAAATATTTACCCGAGTATTTGTTGCCGAGCATTTTAATCCTGTTGCCGAGCATTTTACTCCTTTTTAAATTTTTTTTGTCCTGCCGAGCATTTTACTCTTTTCCAACCTGATACTCAGGGTTTTCACTTCAAAACTCGTAAAATACTGGCCGGATTGTATGTCAAACCACTCAATAAGATGTATTTGTTTTTTAGTTGAATGCATGTATTCCTTTTTAAAACTTTGTGGGCAGTCCTCTACTCTCTATTAGTGCAACGTCAGCCGGCGATAATTGAGAATTTGCACCAACTGTTATAACTGTAGGCGGTACCACCAGATTACTTGCAAATGGCTTTTGTGCGAGGCAGTGTAGGTCAGCACAAAAGTAAAATTGGCAAGGGGTTGCAAATCGCTGTCCGCGTGGAATATAAAGTCCCATTACATAAACGAATATTTTCCCAGCCAACATTGCACTTTCACACGAGCAACACGAAGCTCTCAGCTTTTTTTTTGCCACGTGCCACACTTGCTCTGATGCGGATGATCCTTTAGCTTCAAAAATTGACTTATTTCAATTGGTGTTAACACGATGGTAGGGGGCGGTGGTGGCGTCGAAGAAGCTTGGCCTTTTTTCGTGGTGCTTTCGTTTGTTCTTGTACTGTCTGGGGCACTTTTCAAAATTTCTTTGACTTCGAATTCCGTTAAAGCAACTTGATGCAAAAGATCACTTTCTTCCGGAATGCCAAGAATACTTAACATCACCCAAACAATG